AATTTTGCCCGTATTGCTGCCGGCCATAATTTGATTTGCCGTCACCTAACTAATACATTTGTCTCAAGAAAACTAATAAAATAATTATTTAACATATGGTTCCACTCTTAATCAAGTTGGCATCATACACAACAACAGTTAATAACAAAAGATAAATTAAGACAAGGGTACCAAGACTTGGTATGATACAGTAGCATTCCTGTTTTTTGCAGCCACCTCTACACACTGGTTTGTCCATATAAATAGAAGTTGTTGCTTGCTGCAATAGTGACATTTTTGTCATTTCAAATTGCTAATGATTTTAAGCCAGCGCCTTGGTGCGTTAGGTTAGCTAGCTATTGTAGAGGGTACAAATGAGACTAAATTCGGAGGGGAAAAGGTAATCTTTGTTTGATTTTTATTTTGAAAGAATTCAAATGATAAGCCATTTTAGTCTTCATCCTTTTGATTGGTATCTATCAAAAATTATGTGTGGAAATTTTGAGAACAAAATATGTCGTTGTTTGATTTATTAGTATGAGTGAGTCAAAGAAATTTGTTTAGGTGACACACTAAGATGGAGCTTTTTTTTATACACTAGTCACGCATTCATTATATAGGAAAACAGTTACAAAACCGCACATAACATCACACGAGAACAAACCACAGGGACGCTTTTCCCGGAAACATTGCAAAAAGGACACTCGAAAAAGAAATAATACAAATTAGTCCTTGAAGATCCAAGCAAAAGCAACACCATCATTCTCCTCTAAACTGAAGCCACCGGAGCACCGCCGAGGAAAATAGAGGGATGAATTCATCTCACCCAAGGCCGAGGAAGCACCATCGCAGCCGGCCATGACAAATCATCACCTTATGGGATCCGGTTGATGCGTTCCGTGACAAAAGCCGCTGGCAACACAAACCGAAGAAGCAGTGGATGTCGACCCACTCCTAAACAAACCTCCCAAATCTCGCTGCGGCGCTGGAGTATAAAAGGTCCCCGGCGTGGTCATCGCCGCCGCTTAGCCGACCATGCATGGACGCACAAATCCCACCGGCGCACAACACCAACAAGAATACGAAGTTCCCGGTTCTCCGGTGACGTCATGGATACCGAGGTGGATGAGAATCTGGAGAAGATTTATTCTGACGCGATGCCGCCATCATCCCCAACTTTTTTTTTGACAGCGAATAGACTTTATTCCTCACATAATAGACAATTCATTCAAAAAAGAGGAGAAATAAAGTCCGGGATAGAACTATCCCAAAATCCCGAAGATCTAATGGTAAGAGAATTTCTAGCTAGGCTATCTGCTACCTCATTCGCTTAACGAAAACAATACACAAAGGAATTCTTTGCAAATTCCAACTTCGCGACCCCAGGAAACCTATTCCTACCCATATATACACACTAAGACGACGCTGGGCTGATTTTAATATGCAGACGTAAACAGACTGAAAAGTGCATCCTGAGTTCCTGACAACACTAGTAGAAAAGGGGGCAATGGTCCAGGCTAGGTCAGCCCATTAGTCCCGGTTCAATCTAGAACCGGGACCAATGGGGGCATTGAACCCGGTTCGTGAGCCCCGGGGGCCGGCCGGGCCACGTGGGCCATTGGTCCCGGTTCGACTGGACCTATTGGTCCCGGTTGGTGGGACGAACCGGGACCAATGGGCCTCGCTCCTGGCCCACCACCATTGGTCCCAGTTGGTGGCTTGAACCGGGACCAAAGGCTGCCCTTTAGTCCCGGTTCTTGCCACGAACCGGGACCAATTAGTTGCCTATATATACCTCTCGCCCGCGAGCAGAGCACTCCCACTGCTCTGTTTTTCGTGGCCGGCGAGGGGAGAGCTTTGTGGTGCTCTAGCTCACCTCCTATGCACACAAGGTGTTCGATGGAATGCCCGAGCCACTCTACTTAAGCTTTCTCCTCTCCAAGCTCGACCTCCAAGCTCCATTTTCCTTAATATTTGTCATGAGAAGCTTGTTCAGCTCACTAGTGATGTGATCGGTGGCTCCAGAATCAGCATACCAATTTGTGTCAACACCATATGGGGCAGCAGCAAGAAGTGCCCCCTTTTCTGCATCTTCTCTCACATCATCTCTCTTTTTCTTGTCATCAGCATAACGCCACCAACAATCACTAGCAGGGTGTCCATGCTTCTTGCAAATCTGACAATCAGTGTCAACATACTTGGTAGGGGTACGATCTGGGCGACGTCCACCACCATCATTACGCCTATCACGGCGATCATCACGCCGGTCTCCACGGCGATCATCATCTCTACGATCATCACGACGCCAACCACGGTCATCATCTCTACGGTCATCACGGCGCCAACCACGGTCATCATTGCGGCGTTCATCACGACGCCAACCGCGGTCATCATCATTGTCACGGTATCGATCACCACCACCCCCTCCATGGTAGGAACCACCACTGTCAGGGCTGCGACCACGGAGAGGAGGAGGAGGTGAGTAACCACGTGGAGCTGGAGTGCGACCACGTGAGCGCTCATAGCCCCGACGAGCCAGATTTGCAGAGGAAATAAATGAGCCATTCTCTTCAACTCCATTGTGCATATCATATCCACATAACTGCTCATAAAATTCATCTATGGTGGTGCTAGGGTTTCCATGAACTGTGGTGATAAGAGAGTTGTATTCACCTTTGTCCAGACCATGCAGAAGGTAACCTAGGAGCTCATCATCTCCAATCGGTTTTCCAAGTGCTGAAAGCTCGGAAGCGAAGCCTTTCATCTTGGTGTAGTACTGATTAGCAGTCATTGTCAGTTTCTTGGTGTCATTGAGCTTCTCACGCAGATGTTGAGCCTTGGTGCGAGATGCTGTTTTGAACATAGTGTTAACGGCAGTCCACGCCGAAGCAGTAGTATCCATGCCTAGAACATGCGACAGAATCTCTGGAGAAAGCGAATTCAGAAGAAAATGCAACACCTGTTGGTCCCGAGCAATCCAGGCCACATACGCAGGGTTTTCAGCTTCGATCTTCGTCCCATTGGAGCCATCAGACTCGATGATCTTGGCTGGAGCACGGTCGGAGCCATCGAGAAGGCCCATAACATTGGCGCCACGGAATGCCGGAACGATGAGGGCTTGCCATAGCAGAAAGTTATCTCGCGTCAGAAGCTGAGTTGGAGGGCTCCCGAGGGCAGCGGCCAGGGCTGAAGTTGATGTCGACGAGCTCATGGTGTTAGATCAGATCGGAGGTTGTTTGTTCGGTTGTTGATGCGGCGGCGGCGGCTTAAAGGCAGCAGCGGCGGCGAGGTTGTTTGTCTAGG